GATGGCTAAAACGCGGGATGCTATTTCGGAAAAAATGTTTTCTTTAAAATAAATTGTAAAGGCGCCCGCGATGAGATAAGGAAATGAGATATTATGAATTTATTTATGATTTGGGACTACGAGGCGGTACCTCGTGAGTGCCCTTATTGATATTGATTTATGGCCACAGTTGCCTTTGATTATTTGTTGTGATTTTCTTAAAGTTGAAAGGAATTTTGTTTTGATTCCACGAGATATTATTTGTCATTATTTTGAGTAATTAAATGGTGACATGCTACTTGATTCATTTCCATTGTCATTTTATTTTATTATATTGTTAAACATTTTATCATGCCATTATTATTTTTCAGTAGGGCCTGACCTGACCTCGTCACTACTCTATCGAGGCTAGGCTTGACACTTACTGGGTACCGCTGTGGTGTACTCATACTACGCTTCTGCACATCTTTTTGTGCAGATCCAGGTACTCCATACCAGCCCCGACATCAGTGAGTTACCTGTACACGGAGACTTCGAAGTATATCTGCCAGCGTCCGCAGACTTCGGAGTCCCCTTCTATCATTATTATGTTGCTTTCTTACTTTCTTTAGACCTTGATATATATAGAGACATTAAGGATAAATTCTTAGAAGCTTGTGACTTATTTTTACCGGGTTTTGGGAGTTGAAATTGTTTGAATTGTAGTTTATTTATTTCAGATATTTATTATTATTCCGCATTGATAGGCTTACCTAGTATTAAAGACTAGGTGCCATCACGACATCCTACAGAGGGAATTTGGGGTCGTGACATTATTGGTCTTTGGCGATCCCTCGCCTCACAAGCTAGCTTTTTGGGTTGAGTTAGGCTCAGGATCCATTTTCTTAACATTGTTTTTCTGCCGGACTCATCTCTATTCTTGGTTTTCCCAATGTTATAGGCCCCTACATTATATTGTCCACACACTAAATGTCAAGTCGTTGATGTGCAAAGTGTCCCCTATTGGTGGGGGAAACTGTTGTCTCCTTATATGGTCTTGGACAAACCCCACCTCATGAGGTACCTTTTGGGGGTAAGTTAGGCCCATGGTTCATTTTCTTAACACCTCCGTTCATACTTAGAACAATGACACGTTTTCCAACCAACAATCAGTGCAAAGAAAATTCTGATTTTACTTATCAAAAGAACGGCAGAAAGAAATATATCATTGGATTCTCTATCAATAGAACAGCAGAAAGAAAAATATTATTTTTTATAAGAACCTTCATGCAAGCTGCATGAACTGAAATATAAATCTGAAAGGTACTTTTTTTTCAAAAATAAATAAGAGGTTGGTAGGAAAAGCAACAGCTGTACATAAACATGAAAAAATACTTCAGCAGAAGGCACACGGGAATAATAGATGTCTACAACAATGTGAAAGGCATCACTATTTCTTTATCTTTTTCTTCTTTTTGTTTCTGCTCATGTATGTCTTACTCAGAATAGAGCATTGAGGTCTATAAAGACGAGGAACGATGCACCTTGCTTACAGATGGTCCAGAGAAAAAAATTGAGTATCCAATAACAATGACAAATAGGAAATGGCTTGGCCAACAGCAACATGGAAATTAAAAGCAGACAAATCTAAGGCATAGAGTAGCTCACGAGAAAAAAAAAATGTTGTAAATTATCTTCAAAAAGGTATCGTAGATCTCCTAACTCATTGCTGCAGTTTATATAGCTGGTTAATACTGTTAAACAAAAGTTAAGCAAATTGAGGTGTGACATCACTTAAACACACAAATAACGTGTTCTGTTACTTTGAACAATAATGTGCAACCACAAGAATGTTGTAGTTTCAATCAGTTAACTTAGCAGCGAGCAAATCATAACTATGAAATGATCGTTCTTACTTCACTTTACCTTGTTAACATGCGATAAGGCTCTCGAAGATCTTTGGTTACAAGATCATCGATCAACGTCCCTATAAAACTACTTTCTCTCTCAAGAACAATAAGTTGCTTTCCATCTGAGTGTCTAGCTGCATTAATTCCAGATATAATCCCCTACATCAAAAGAAAAAATAACCAAAAGAGGCTTAGAAGAGCTTATCGGATAATCATGACGTCCTAGTTAAAAAGCAGGAGCTAGTAAACATTCTTACATCTATTGGATATATAGATCAAATATATAAACTGAAGTGAGCATCATCGAAGTATAAAAACCTGGGCAGCAGCTTCTTCATAGCCAGTTGTCCCATTTATCTGGCCAGAAAAGAAAAGACCCTCGATCTTTTTAGTCATTAGGGACCTGGAGCACTGATAAGCCGGCAAGTAATCATACTCTACCGCATAGGCTGGCCTGAGCATTGTACAGTTCTCAAGTCCGGGTAATGTTCGTAAAAGAGGCAATTGTAGTCTCTCCGGTAAACCAGTAGAGAATCCCTACAAAAGAACGGATCATTACACTGTGCAAATGGCAAAGGAGCTTTACACAGCAATAAAGTGATATCTAGCATTATCTTATTTCCATGAGAGAGGGAACTAAGGAAATGAATTTTAACTTTAAGAAATTAGCCAGCAGAGAGCTTTAGAGAAAGTAGGGTACTGCATATTTTCCTACCAACACATCTCCATCGGTTCTCGGAAATGACCAAGTCATAGCAAATTGAAACTAATTTCATGGTTATCGCTAACTGGCATAACCTTAGCACATTACACCAGAAATAGGTAACAGACTTGAACTCAATGTTTTGAAAAGCGAAACGCACAAAAAGCCGGCAAACCTGCACATAGAGCTCAGGAACACTTCGACCCTCAGGTTCAAGGAATATTTGATGCGACTCTTTATCTTGAAATCTTACAATCTGAAATAGTAAAAAAGATAATCATATTTCACGTGGCAGAAATCAAAAGAAAATAAGAACAGATAAATTCTCCAATCTGGAGCCACGATATTTGAATGAGTGCATTAGGTACTAAACTCACGTCAACTAACACTGATCATAGCAAACTTTGTAACAAGCAAGGAATTACCCTCCACTCACTAGAATAACTATTAATACCATTAGCAGATGCTATTATCAGAGGGAATTAAATCTTCCCTCCGCCTACTTTCTTTTCCCTCCAATAGCATAAGGGGTTTTCAAGTCAAGTCATATAATAACTACTAAGAAATTTCAGTAGTATCAATTACCTCCTGTTGAAACGTTGGGATGTAGCTTTTTTGCAGGTGGAACAAAAAGGCACAACATTAACGCTTCATTGAGATCATGATCCATAAGATTCTTAGTTCATGCTTCGGAAATAGATAGTAGCCTATTTTACCAATTCCACCATCTTAACAGAGCATTTAACAACATAGAATAACACCATTCTAAGTGATAACTAATTTGCAGAATCCATGACGGATATCCATTTTAGTCATTTAATAATGTGAAATGAGATTTTATCACATACCATATAAATCAACTTTGCCTCAATTACTCTAACCAAATACTGAACCGCACATTGATATTATCTTCCCAAGAAAGTAGACAAGCAACTTTGAAATGTTAAATGCCTAAATGTAATAATCCACCCTTTTTGTTGCCATTTGAATTGAGTCAAAGTAACATGAATATCTGGAAAAATAAGATGGAGATAAAATGTCTAAAGTTCCAAATTTATCTGCACTTTATTTGCAATCCTCTATAACTCGAAATAAAGATATGCTGATATAAATTTTTCCGTGTAAGGAAAGCAAAGTCCAAAGGAAGATTAATCCTAGCTGTTTCACATTTTTTGGCTAAGAAAGATACTGCGTTCTCACATTAGCAAACGCAAGCAATCCATGTATTAGGTGACATTAACAAGAAGATAAGAGCTTGAATGGAGAATTAAGTATGAGATGCATCAAAACCAGAGGGAAGCTACATAATCTGCAACAGCATACGATACCTTATCCTCAATGGAGGGGCAGTATCGAGGGCCCTTAGCTTCCACCCACCCTCCGTAAGTAGGAGTCTCATGCAAATTATCTCTAATTATCTGATGAGTACTCTTTGTGGTACGTGTAAGGTAGCAGCACATCTGTTCCCTTTCTATATGATAATTAGTATCAAAACTGAACCAGCTTACCTGAGGATTAATGATAAATATTAGAATACATGAATGTAGGCATGAGCATGTATACATACATAGAAATTGCTGATGAAGAAAATCTAATTATTTTTTAAGTGAACCTTATCAACAAATACATAGCACAGACTAAACAGAATTTCAAGCCTCCCAAATTTTAAACCCTCATGAGACAAAATGAAGGCAACAAGTAAAATAAAAGCTTACAAGTAGCTATCTATCAAGAATGCAAATCCCCCCACGTATACATACTTTTCTATACAGTCCATCCTGCAGGAGAGGGGGGATCTGGATATTGTGTAACTTGTATCATATAGCACATAGGACCCGGAAACACATGCTTGCAGTTTTGCATTACATATAAAGTTGCTCATAATAAATTGGTTTTTGCTCAGACAATTTTAACAGTTATTATCAGTAAAAATCAAGAAATAACTGTCGGACTAGGGAAACAAAGTATTAAATGTTGACTATCAGAGTACTTTTGCAGGAGATCCTAAATCAGATCTAGGCTTATAGATATCCAGAAATTTAGAAAATAACAAGTTTCTCCATGAGACAACTCAAACAATGATCACATGCACTTGGAAGTGATCCTAGCTTATACAACATACTACTTAATAAAAGAAATTTGCAACTCATCCACAAAATACATTGTCATAAGTAATATGCTACTGGATTGCACACGCAATTCAGCATGGTTAGAGTCGCATAGATGACACATAAGTATACAGAACCTACATATTAAGAATAAGCAGAAGGACCTCTTCGTCGCCATATTGGGGCTCCAATCCTGAGAAATCTACAGTACGACTGTCCACACGAGAAGGAGTTCCTGTTTTTAGCCTATCAGTCTCAAAGCCAAGGCGCTGCAAGTTTTCTGTTAGACCAATGGAAGCTGATTCACCAGCTCTTCCTGCAGGCATTGAAGTTCTCCCAACCCAAATTTTCCCACTCATAAAGGTCCCTGTCGTCAGAATCACCGAAGGTGCATAGAAGTTCATGCCAAAGAAAGTACAGACCCCCTCAATGTTGTCATTTTTCCCCAACAAAATATCTGTTACCATTGCCTCTCTAATAAAGAGGTTTGGGGTGCTGGAAATGGGAGCCACGAGTTAGGCACGGAAGATATGACAGCCACCAAATATGTTTGAGACACACAATTTCAACACAATGGAATAACTTGCAAAGTTGCACCAATGCACAAGGAATTAATTGATTTCCTCTACACTTCTCAGTTTTCTGGAAAGTAAATAGATGTTTATAGCTCATTTCCTTCTTTTTTAATACCCAACTTCTTGCAGGGGACATGTAAATATATTTCCAATAGTTCGTTAAAGGGAGACATTGTGCAACTTTAGCTGAGAAGCATATAAGATTTTACTAGAAATAGCATCCAAGATGCCAACATAGTATACAAAGTGATCCTTGAACCTCTATAGCGTGGACCAGAATTTACTAAGCTATCATCTTTATTTCTTCAGGAATAATAGATCAAAGCTTAAGAAAAAAGTATAATCATATAAAACAAGACCTATTTAGCACTCATAAAATACTTATTTCACTGTGTCGTGCAAAATGAATGCAGGATAAGTGGTAACTGCAGTAGCATGACAAAGAAAAGTTACTGAATGTATTATGGCCTCAATGAAGTTTATCTGCCCACGCGAAAGTAGCATTTTTTTTAAAGCATATAAAGTTTTACTAGAAAGACAAGTATCTAAGATGCCAGCATACTATATACAAAGTGATCCGTGAATTTCTGTAGCATACTATATACAAAGTGATCTGTGAATCTCTGTAGCATGGACCAGATATTACTAAGCATTTATCTGTATTTCTCCAAGGACAATCAATCCAAGCTTAAGAAAAAAGTTCATAATCATATAGGACAGGACCTATTTAGCACTCATAAATACTTGTTTCATTGTGTAGTTCAAAATGAAACATAGGGTAAGTGGAAACTGTAGTCGCATGACAAAGACAAGTTACTCAATGTATTAATGCCTCAATGAAATTTATCTGCCCCATGTTCGTAAAAATTTTAAAGCAGCTTAATAAGCACATATGTCCATGATGTTAAAATCTTTGATCAGCTTACTGATGAGCACAAGTCATTCTTGATAACAACTGTATTCTGTGTTGGGACAATAAACTTACCTCTCAACAATCTTTTTCATTTCTATAGCATATTCTCTCTTATCTGTCTGTGCACGTAACGCCCAAACAGCAGGGCCCCTAGAGATGTTAAGAACACGTTTCTGCAAATAGCACCTATTGGAAAGATAAGCTTTCATCAGTCTCCTGAATAACGATAGGAGGATTTAAGAAAATATAACTCCAAAAGCATCATTATACAAGAATAGGCATCATTAGATATCTAATGTTTTGATAGAATGATCATAAGGAAACCCAATTTGTTGCTACAATGTTAATTAAAACTCAACCTTGAGGCGAAAAAGACATCCTCTCCATTTCCTAATTACCTTCGAAACTTGTTCCAAAAATGTTTTACTGCTGACCAAGCTACTTTATTCATTGTTTTCTTTTTCCCGGAATCCGCATTTATCTTAGTTCTTCAGCTATTATTCCTTTCAAACATACATCAATTTATAAGCCCTCCAGGCTGGTTTATAGTATTTTTGTCCCCGATATTTTCTAAGAGCTTAAACTTGATGCCAAAATTTAATCAGTTTCCTTTTTGTTTCTCATTTTTCCTGAGTTGAAAACAAAAACGCTTCCATTGAGCTGGTTACCAAACAAGAAAACAGATGAATTTTTAATAGCAGCTGGAGTACTAAGGTTTACCTATCAGCAATTTTTCCAATTTCACCACCCAGGGCGTCGACTTCATGCACCAGCTGAGACTTGGCTGGCCCACCAACTGCCGGATTACATGGCTGCATTGAATTCAATATAGTAAGACTACAATCAACAACAACAACAACAACCCAGTATAATCCCACTGGTGGGGTCTGGGGAGGGTAGTGTGTACGCAGACCTTACCCCTACCCTAGGGTAGAGAGGCTGCTTCCGATATACCCTCGGCTCCCTCCTTCCAAGAACTCCCCACCTTGCTCTTGGGGTGACTCGAACTCACAACCTCTTGGTTGGAAGTGGAGGGTGCTCACCACTAGAGCAACCCACTCTTGTCAGATAGTAAGACTACAATCATGAGATGAAAAGCAGATTCAGATATAAAAACCATCCTTGGGTTGGAAACATTAAGTCCCTGAACTATAGCTTATTGTAGATTACAGAAAACCACAAAAAAAGTAAAAACAATAACTAGCCTCAGTTCCAAACAAGTTGAGGTCGGCTATATCAATCCTCACTGACCACGTCACTCCATTTAAATCATCTCGTGCTAATATTATGCAAATACAAACAGAAAGTACTAGAAGTTGTGTATATTTTCCAAATATATAAACCTAAGAAAGGTTAAACTACTCATAGAGAGCATAAAACCTACAGTAAAAGTGCTAACATCTAAAACATATTCTCAACTAACATGTATCACCTATATATAGAACACAAGAAAGGTAAAAACAGAAACATAAAACACTATAGTTTAACTTGAACAACACTGTAAAAAGGGCACTGTAGTACAAAAATCATATAAGAGTGTTCATGAGAGAAGTTTTTCCTTCTCTGTTTGAGTCCATAATTTCAGCACAAGAAAATATCACAGAACTTATGAAACAAATTTACACGTTGTCTTTTTTGAAAGCAGCAATCGAAACATAACATCACAAATTTACAAGTTGTCCCTCGGAAAGCAACAACCGAAGTCCATCCATTCCAACCTTTTATCATGATCAGGTAAAAGTAGATTTCATTATGTTCCAACTTATTTGCCACTGTGCACTTACTGAGGGTCAATATGACCATTTTATGGAGCTAACTGAGATTAGATTAATTCATTCTTTTAAAATAAAATTAAAAATTCCTATAAGCCACAACTTTCCTCATCTAACAATGGCCAAAGAAAACATCTTAAGATGTTAGTCAAAATTCAACACCAACGAACAGAAAGTTCATTGCACATAATAAAATTAGTCCAAAAACCAGAAAGTACGAATAACTGTTACCTGCCATGCTATGCGATCAATATTAAGAGTAAGAAGGAGAGTTTTCGCCCCTAATCGTGCTGAAGCAAGGGCAGCTTCACACCCTGCGTGGCCTCCTCCCACCACAATCACATCATATCTTTCATCACCCACTTCACTGTAACTATTTAAGCCTGCCAATTTTTGTTAATTCATCAGACATTGTTTTCTCGAAAACATGATTAGATACTACACTAATTATGATTAATGACGCAGATTTTTTCATAACTCATGGGAATCATTAGTACCCAACCATAATGTTGTCTCTTTTGGCTTCTCAAGAGCCAAACAATAATCTTTGATGTAAATTTAAATGCACTAGGTGGTCATGTTACAATGGCACAAAAGAAATAACTAAAATAAATTTTCATGTTGTTCCTAATTTAACTGTCCAAAAAATCAAATGTACATGATACTAATGAATATCAAATGATCCTACAAGCAAGAGAGAATTTTAAATTGAACTTACAGTTTTCAATGAATAAATATGATTCTCAAAAGAATATTTATATGAAGAATTAAGTCTTCTTAAGAGGCACTTTGTACTTACTGCTGGACTGAGAAGTCGAGGCTACGACAGAGAAAGAGCGGCTAGAGGAGGAGTAGAGAGTGCAGAAGCTACCGGAAAACCGGAAGCTCTGGTATAATCTAACGACTTGGGCTTGCCGATGCTTATGAAGAAATGGAAAGGATAAACAGCGAGGAACTTGAGAAGCGAACCGGCTCCAGTTCAGAGAAAGAGCGGTCGCCATTGGAATTAAGAGGTGCAATGCTGTTGAAGCTCGGATATGGAGAGATAATTTCTTTTGGAGCCCCCCTGTTTTGCATAAGTTTTTCTGTACACCCCAATGTTTCTCTAGTTACAATGTGTTCCGTCCACCAAATTCTATATTTTAAATTGAAGTTGTAACTGTTAGGATTAAATTCATAACCAAACAATTATTTGGAAAAAAAATTATTTGAAGTTTTATTCATAGACAAATGCTCGGGAGTTGTTGGAAACAACAAACAACAATGACAATAATTTTTCCGGAATTGACTTTAAGATTTCATCTTTTTTCTTTTCTTTTTACCAGATTTGGTACCATTCAAATTTGAAGCTTGATAAGTCTAAAATGTATATTTATCAGTGTCATTTTCTGGCTATTTTAGTTTGGTTCTGAGTACTACTGTGCTCTATTTGCACATTATTTCATTAAGTGTCCACCAAAAAGTACTATTTTAGAGTTGAATTGACATCTTTTTACTCATCAAAAAAGTTCAAATATTATTTTTAACATATTATTACACACATATACCGAATATACTACAATATTTAAATTAAAATTTCAAATCATTTCTACTTTTTTTTGTTTTAAGAATGTCAAATTTTCAAATCATTTCACTTGAATTCCATAGAAGTAAATCTAGGTCCTACATAATGAAACACGATTGTTTTATTCAACATTTCAACTCAGCTGCATCCAAAATGGTCAGAGAACAATAAATACCAAGTTGCTATTGCTTCATCAGATAACCCTTAACATTATATATACTGGTATATTTTCAAGTGCAAAGAATTATGTCGCTAAAAAAATCAAAAGAAGAAAAAAGAACTAACCAAAAAAGAAACTTTCTCGCTCACATCAATACACTGAACCATTCATGGACACTGAATAAGAACTTCGCTCAAATAGCAGACTCCATCCCACTAAGAAAAAAGAACGAAAAGGAAACGATTAAAGCTTTTTCTGCTTTCCCTCTCCCTCTGTTTGCTCCCAATCCCAAAATATGCTGCAGGATATTCACAAGAAAACCAAAACGGAATAGCAATATCTAAAATATTTCTCATATGCTGTTTCCTCCCATGGCAATAGCTGGAGATATGACCACCACCCTAAACATCTTCTTGTTGCTCCTTTCACCAAGGCTTTCATGCTCTGGCTTCATGCTGCTCTAAAGGTTTTTGATAAACGATGATAGTATTCAATTTGCTGCATCCACAAAGAAAATAGCAGTATAATAGGAGACAATGATTGGATTTAGCACAAGATGGCAAATGCCTTAACACTAAATGACACCAGGAAACTAAATCAGTTGTACCTTGTCGGAGACAGATGGAGAAATTTTCTCCAAAGCCCGTTTGAAATGTGACTCCTTGATAGTTGATGATGTGTCACCACAACTTGTATCTAATGCTCTCAATTTATCTTCCAGTGCAACCATTGCAGCTTCATTCATCTAGCAAATTTAAGCAGTTGGTAAAAGTCACACCTTTGATAAAATTACCAACCATGAAAAAAAAGATATGACAAGTTCCACTGGGGAGATAAAAGCAGGTAAAACAAGCAGTTAGAAGAAAAGATGAACAAACCAGTGCTGACAGGTCTGCTCCACTAAAATTTTTACAAGCATCATCTCTTCCAATGGTCATCAAGTCGACACTAGTATCTATAGGTTTTTTCCGGGCAAGAGTTTTTAAAATTAGTCCACGCTCATCTGGACTAGGTAGAGGGACATATAGGAATCTCCCTAACCTTCCAGGTCGAAGAATAGCTTGGTCCATAACTTCAGGCCTGCAAACATGATTAAGATAAGAACCAAACATAGGATGTGAATTATTTACTTTGAATCTCCATTCCAAAAACCAAAGGCACATAATATCCAGAAGAACGAAAAACACCTATTTGTAGCACCAATCACGTAAACACCTTTTCTCTGATCTGCACCATCTAGTTCTATTAGTAGCTGCAATAATTAGAGAAGATTCACACTTGCAAAGGTTAAGAAGAATACAATGTCAACTTTTGTCAAGAACATATGCTCAATCATACAAACCTGATTCAAAAGCCTTTCAACAACCCAACCTCCTTCCTTACCACGCTTAGTTGTCAATGCATCTATCTGTAAAAAATTAAAGAGAAAAAAGTTGACAACCAAGTGTTTCTCAAAAAGTTTCTATACTTTGTTTCCTATCATTATTTTTTTGGGTACTAAACCATCACCACAAATGTCGCTCTTGCATCTGAACACTGTACATGTATCAGACTTTGGAGCAAGCATCTTATAAGTGCCTGGAATTTTGAAAGTTTCTATTTTTGTTTTATTTTTACTATTATTAATTTTGGGTACTGAAGCAACACTGTAAAACACTCTTTCCTATCAGAACACTATACAATGTATTGGACTTTGTAGCAAACATCTTACAGGTGCACACAAATTTTCAAAGGAAATAAAAGTGAGTCAAAGCTTCTGCAGTGCTTTTGAAGGTGGAAGGACTCAGGGAAATGAAAAGATGACGGATATTAGACAGAAGTGTGAGAGTTTTAAGTGAGAAGTACCTCATCGAAGAATAGAATGCATGGAGCGCATGTTCTTGCACGAGTAAATAATGTCCGGATAGCTAACTCACTTTCACCAACATACTTGTTCAGAATTTCAGGTCCCTGGATGGACATCAGTAAATGAGATATCAGTCATGCCCCAGTCGTGCAAAACATCAACAAAAGCAGTCATTAGGAAAAGAGAAATTTGCAGGAACCTTAATGTGTATAAAATTTGCTCCAGCTTTATTAGCAACAGCCTTGGCAATTAACGTTTTACCGCATCCTGGGGGACCATAAAGCAAGAATCCTGTTTCCGATTCCGCTCCAAAATGCTGAAATATGGAACAGCTTTCAGAAGTTTCATACTAGCATACTCATAAGAAAAAATAAGTAATTAACAGACAATTTGAAGTCAAGGCACTAAAAAGCCAGCACAGAGCTGGTTCTAACTTGGAAACTTTTGCATTCATCAACTGATAGCTTATTAAACGTGGAACACAAAGGATGCTTGTTAAAGGAAATGCATTGAATTACAACCAAAGGACGAGCATTATTTTGTTAGTGAATCCTCCTACCTAATAGCAATGTTCCCGATGAACATAAATCACATTGGACACTTGGGAGCAAGAACACAATTTTACATAATTAAGAAAGAATACAACTGTTACACCAACAAGAACACGGTCTTCTAGCACATTAAGATGTTCAGGAGTGGGAGAAGATAATGGAAATGCTCTTCACTTCTCAAAAATGATCTAAAGATCATGGTCTAAAGATGGAAACAAAACTCCACCTTAACAAAAGATCATGCCACAGAAAACTTCATTAAAGATGGAAACAAAACTCCACCTTAACATTCATGGTCTAAAGATCCTTTGGGATGGAATAAACAGCCAGCTTAAACTTGAGCAAAGAAAGAGATAAATGCCCAAAGAAAAAAACACGGAAAGAAAAAACACCCAACTATATATAAAGTGAAAGGAAAAAGTCAGAACATAAGGAAGTCCGAAATGAAGGTTATAAAGCCAATCAGCTGACACACCAGTGCGGTATTAATATCTGAATATTCAATATAATTTAAGATAATTACTGACCATGTAATCTTCAGGATTCGCTATACAACTGACAATGGAACGTTGAAACTCATGCCGTAACGAATCAAGGCCTCCAACATCTTCCCAATTTACATTTGGGATAGCGGAGAAACCCTCTCTTCTAGATGAGGGTTGAACCAATTTAGCTGCTTCCTGCAAATTATCATATGAGTTATTAACAGGCTATATGAAACAGATCGTTTCAGATTTTACATGGAAGATAATCACATGCCCAGGAAAAGAGCATCAGATACTAGATCATAAAAATAATAAGATGTATAGTAACCATGCCAAACTTAAATCTTTTTTTTCGATAACGGTGGTTCGGGTGGTTCAGGGCCAACTTGTGTGTACCTTGATTAATTCTGCTACTTCCAAACAAAAAATTCTTCAGTGACTCCATCCACCAAGGACTTAGAAAAATGGGAAGAAATCACCTAACCTTTTTTTTTGCCTCGTTGCAATTTGAACCCTCGTCTCCCATGGTCCATTCTAGATTTATTGACCTTTCTAGGATATATCCTTGATTGCTTTACCCGTATTGTTCAATTCTCTTAACACTTATAAGCTTCATGTGATAATGCTCTTAAAGGATGATGTACCCTCCTTACACTGCCAAACTTGATCTTGAATTCATAGTTTAAAAGGAGGGTGCATCATCCTTTAAGAGCGTTATCATATGAAGCTTATATACATTAAGAGAATTAAACAACACAGATAAAGCAACGTATTATACATATTTAACTGTGAAACCCAAAATCAATCATTAAAATCTTGGAAAATGTAGAAAAGCTGATTTCTGACTACGCATGTAAATGAAAAATCATGGTTCTTCTACTTGCTTAGGCTGGTGGGGT